AGTTAAAGTAAGCCTTTACCTTGGTTTGAAGCCATGTAGTCTGTCGTGCTGTGGATCACCTTTGTGGCCACTTCTATAAGACTTGAATATTTCATCCAGTTTATTGCACGTTTCTTTCAAAATACAGCTTTTCACCATTTTATTTTTCAAGATAACTTAAGAAACTACATCTTATGTACAGTCTTTTTTATTAAATTATTTAGGCCTTGCTACATTTTTTCAAAATCTTACTTTAAAAAATATATTTGTCCCACATTTAATATACAGATAATTTCTGCGACTTCGTGATAGAAATTATATGGAAGGATTTGATGTTCCTAGAATTGCTTGGGCAGTTGTTTCTAAAGGAATAATTTTTCCTCATTTCCTTTGGATCTTCTTTTAAAAAAGAAAAATCTGCCTTTTATAGACTGAACTTGTTATAATGATACAAACATGAAAGTGATCAGCATTTACCACATGTATTAGGAAGTCTCTGTCTTTCCGTGACATGAGAATTTAAAGCGTATGATATTTTAAGGAGAATTCATGTGATGAGGAAATGCAGACTTAACCTTTTGTAACTGAACCAGGAAGCCTTAGCTAAGGTTCTAACATGTGCTGGTTCATTTTCTGGCAGAGGTACACACTTTTTTTTCATCAGTTGCAGTATTAAAACTTTCAAAGTATTGACTAGAAGAATTTTTCTTCAGTGCGTGGTTACGATTATTTAACCCCTTAACCCTTTTGCGGTCCTACGTTTCCTATGCCAGTTGCAGAAGTTGGAGCCAGGTTATCAGTGCAGGCGTCCAAATAAAGCAGAGTTATTACACAAGTGGCCGTCTTCTGGGTTGTAGCACTACAACCTAGAAGATGACTATGTTCAAACTTGCCGCCATGAAAACCTCAAATCCTACAGAGTTATTACATGTTTATTTCCTTTTGCGGCTGAACTAATGGACAAGTTTGTGGGAGCGCTCCATTTTTATAATAGGATCGTACAGCTATGCCTGGAACCTAGCTGGTGTAATCATTTGTGTATTTGAGTCTGTATATAAGTAAATGAGATGGTATGTAAATAAATGTAAGTTATTGAAAATAAGCTTTTACTTATTACTATACTCAAATTTGAACTAATCAACCAGTATGAGACTCAGCAGGTATACAGGGAACATTTGTTGTGTCTTATTGTTTTGTTGTGTTCTATTGTGTCTTACTGAAGCACCATTGCTACAGGGTATAAACCCATTTGCAGTTAATAAATAATAATAATAATCTCGTTTAGTAAGATGTCTTGTTTATTTGGTCTGATCTGTATAAACCAACTGTGCCAGAAAATGAGTACTAAAAGAATAGTAGTGAGAACGTTGCTGTGGACGTTGGAACGCTAGAAAGGGAAGTGTGCTTTACCCGAGTGCGTGTGGGTTGGCACCTCATCCCAAGCGACTGAGTGCATCCTCATTTCCCCTCAAGAATCATCTCTTTGTATCTAAGAGTTTTAATGCTATAAGGCCAGTGGCGGCCCGTCCGTAAGACCTGTAGCGCCCCTTATAATTTTTCAAAAATTGAACAATTAATTTTTTGTGTTTATATAATTTGTAACACTTTATTTACTCTATATCATTATTCTAATATTGCCTCTTACGTTGTCATTATCCACTAATCGGCTGAACTGATAGTAAGTCCAAGGGCGAAGATTGCGAAGCAGAACGGGTGTATCATCCGGCTGCAAGGATTTCAGCCCGGCTAGCCGGTCAAAAGTAGAGGGCGCGATGGGCGGTGGAGTGAGGGGCAGTTCACTGTTATATCCTGTGTGTCCGTGCTGCAAGGTTTTCAGCTCCGTTTGCTTCACACACGTCTTAGCGCGGTGTGAGGATGAGGGGCAGTTCACTGGTACAGCGCGTATCGGGGCTGCAGTCCCCACAGCTGGCTTATAGTAAACACGCTTGCCTGGTACCACATGTTTTAGACTGGTTTATGTATCACAAAATCTTTTGTGGTTATTGTTAATGAGTGTTCAATAATTCTGTGTGCAGACTTTTTTGTTCTGATAATGATAATGAGCAGAGGAAGTGTATCATAGTTAACGGCAAATTAGTTTTTCTAAATTGTATTTGAGTGACAAAAGTGATGTAAGAAATCTTGACCGCCCTCTTCTGGACTTACAAATAGTTAAAACATCGTCGAGCACGTAAGGGTTTTCTCCTGATTTAAATTTACTTTTCATTTATTTATATTATTATGTGTCAAAGAACTATTCTGAGTTTCCCCCCATGTGCAGAACTACCACTGCTCAGACTCACGAGCAACCGCTGTGAATTGTGTGAGCAAATATACAAAACACTATAGCAGTGCGTTTGTCTTTTTTGTCCTTGTTATATTGTGTCGGGTGGGAACCATGTCATGAGAAAGTGTTCCCTAATGTTAAAATTGAGTTATGTTGCTTTGTGGATTCTCTGAAATATAACTGTATTTAATAAATGAGAAGCAAAGAATAATTAGACATTTAATTCCATCCAGGTAACTGCATGAGAAAGTTAAACTTAACATACATTTGAAACAAACATTGTAGTGTTGGTATGTCTTTAGAGGGTTAAAATACCTTAATACATAATGTGTTACTTTCAGATCCATTCCCTCCTTTGTTTCAAGAATCTTTCTGATGGCGACATGTTATAAAGCATGCACATGCCTATTTGTGAGTTCCATTATGCCTTTTAAGTATAATTTTGGAGTTAGTGTGTTTTAGATGTTTTAATCGACTTTCGATTATTTCTAAGTGTGAAATTTGACCTTGCGTTACATTAGTATGTTTCTCGCGCTGAATTATGTGTTTTGATTATAAAACGCCATCCACACTGAAAAGTTAAGGATAGTTAAGTGCAATTTGTGTTGCTTAAATGAAATAACTGCCTTAGTTGGTAGAACTGTATACGATTTTCCCATATTTCACCACAAATTCAATCAGATGATGATGACATCCAAGCTGATAGATGATGTGCTCCCACCTGTAAAAGACCCCACAACAAGTATTCATTGTAACTTCTGCCGAGTCCATTGCAAAATTCACACATTTGTGTTTAGATAACGGCTGATCTGCAACAGGGACACAGGAATTTTCCTATAGCCTCTGCGTCCAGACAGTGCTCACTAATTTGGTAATGTATTATGCCTTGCATTGTGAGGACTAAAGGTTTCAGCTTGTATTACTTTTGATTTCACTCAACTCACTTTCGAAAGGTTCAGACAATTTAGAAGACAGTATTTGTTATACATGTTATTGAATTCTTACTTGGTATGAGTGAATGAATTCACTGCGTTGTGTTCAGTACTTTGAAACTTGGTAGTCACTGAGTAGATGAGAATTCTCTGCCTTTTGAGGGACCTGAATGATTCTTATCATGTTCACAAAAGCTTGCTGCTGAACTTTTGTCCTGAGATAGTTTAACTCAGTCCACACACACTGTCTTTAAAACCCAATTTAATACCTAAACTAAACTAAACTAAACTAAACTAACCTAGCCTAACCTAACCTAACCAAACCTCCCATCTACATTCAGGTATTCCAATAAACTGTTCCCTTCAGATTTTTTGACCAAAATACTATATGTGGTCTGTGTCTCCATAATCATGGTGCATGTCCCACCGATTTTGTCCACCTTGATCTGAACACGCTAATGAACATTTGATAAATAGTACAAAATATGATGCAACAAGTTTTCTCCATCATCCTGTTATGTGTGAAGCAACGAACATCTCAAAATTATATTAAAAACTATAATATATATTCATTATGTAGTGGAATATTATTTTTGTTTTAGTAAAACAGGTTTTGGATCCATGATTGTTAACCAACGTTTCAGAGGTCATACTGCCTCCGTCATCAGGGCGATGAGTGCGAAGATTTCTGTCTTCTGGGTTGTTGCGCTGTGTAGTCTGGTCGATGTTAGCCAACGTTTCGGAGGTCATACTGCCTCCATCATCAGGGCGATGAATCAACAACCCAGAAGACAGAAATCTTCATACCCACCGCTGTGAAAACCTCAAATCCTACATATTCTGATATTTCTTTGTGGCAATATTACTCACGTACAGCTGAGCTCTGAATCATGCCGTCATGCAGTATAAAAAAAGAAAAAAGAACGCCTTTGTCCACCTGATACATTATAGAAACCACTTTTACTAAATCTTGTTTATGTGGTCCCTTTTAAATATGATGGAAGTTGTGAATTGTCACGTCCGAATTAGAAAATGAAACATTTATGGCATAAGTACATGTTATTACAGAACTGTGGGGCATGACTCTCAGCGTCTGTTGTTAACTTACTTCTCAGCTTTTATGACGACAAGATCGCCAACTCTTCCTTTCTGGATTGCGCCGTGTGTCCTTCCCCTCCCCAGCGAAGCAGCCGCGTTCAAAGTTGCAGCGACGAGAGCTTCAGGCATGTTCATCCCATACGTCACACAAGCCAGGTTCATGACCGTTGGCTGCAGAACGAATAAGCTAATACAGTGAAACCTCGATGCATCGTTTTCGGTGTTGGTGGGAAATAAAAACGATGTTTCTCTTTCAAAGTTACTTCTTTTTACCAAAAAAAGTCTTTAATGGACAACTGGTTTGTCGAAACTTTACGTTTTAGGCCAAACAGAGC